CCGCCAAGAAGGAGAATCACACAAAAGAGCCCCCCCCCAGCACCTGGAGCAGCCATGGCGATGGCAGAGACGTTGGCCGAGCAGGACATAGGCGCGAAATGCAAGGCAGACCTCGAGAGCTCGATGCAAGCACTGAGCCAGATGGACGCGCACCATGTAGCCGACACCTTTCTGCTGCGCAAGCTGGAGAAGGCCCTGATAAGCGGCCCGTGCAAGATCCCCTTCGCGCGCCGCAACCAGGAGATCAGGCATCATATGGTGATTGCGCTCCACAACGGCAACAGGGAGGTATGCACGGGGCCCGCCCCTGCGAGATTCGCGGAGGACGAACTGGCTCGACGGCATGGGCAAGCCGACCTGGGGAGACTGGGACGGATTGCAAGGTCGATGGCCAGCCTATGCGACGCTTGAAGTCTATGTCAGCGAATGGGACACACATTGGTGCGAGTAGTAGATTGATGAACCCGACGGTTGAGCAACATTCATTCAGCTCACAGCTCCACCCCTAGCAGCACATGGCCCTCCCAGCGGACGGCGTGCGCAGGACTGGCGGTGATTACAAAAGCTCGATTCAGATGGGAGAACGGACGATTGGAGTGTGCGATGGAACGGGGGCTACATCTACGTCTGAGTACCTGAGGGATGGCTCTCGCGATGTAAATCATGGGGCCTCCGCCCGCCGCCTGAACGCACTGCCAGCTCCAGAAAGGGTCGAGAGGAAAATTCCTCCGACACCCCCCTCCTGCTCCCCCTGGCCTCGGGGGCCCTGCTGATGCCCCTCCGCCGTCCGCTTGTCCTCCCGCTCTCCCCACCCCAGGGCGTTCGCGCCCCCCTCCAGACGGTTCGCGGCAGAGGGCGCGGTCTTGGGAGAGGTAGGGGAAAAGGGCGCGCCATTCCGTGAGCTGGGTCGTGGGCTCGCCGCCCTTCGTGGTGCGCCGAGCCGCGCGCGATCACCGGCGGTGGTGCTATAACGAGACGCCTCATTGAGGCGAGCACTGCCTAGGTTCCAGAGTATTTCAGAGCACGTCTGTTTCTCTGTGCAGGAACTTTGGGCATTTCGGTGTTGTGAGTTGGTGTGTATATATATATATATGTATATACACATCCATACATGTATGCATATATACATTACGTATATACATTTATACATTTCAGGGGTGACGGGGGGTCATTGTCAGGCGCGCGAGAGCCCACCATTTTATCAAAAACCAACGAAGATTGATTGCGGGTACCATGCTGGCCATCCCGCTGCGATGTTGCATTGGATGTTGACAGGGATGGTGGGGGGCGATGTTTTCCGATGTTCTGTAGCCTGCGCTGGCGCACCTGGTGCGGGTGGAGCATTGTGACACTAAGCGCATGTGGAGCGCGTGGCACACTTGTCGCACCTGGTGCGCCAAGCGCGCGGCACGCGTGGCACACTTCGCCAGCGTCGCGCACCTGGCGCCTGTATTGGTCTCCAGCCGCTGTCCGCCCAATGGCGATCGCTATTCTGAGATTCGGGTGGTACGTATGTGTTCGGAGGGGACTGTGTTTGAATCCTCTGGCTCGCAACGGTCGTTACCCGGGCCACACACCCCCATCCCACCCGTGAGCGTACCTACGCTGTTTTTGCTGCGGGGGGGGCCGCCGGTGGTCGCTGGCGCCCTGCCGGTGCTCGCAGGCGCCCCGCCGGTGTTTGCAAGCTTTGTGCAGATGCCCCCGAGCGCGATCGTTACCCAGGGCTTCAAGCCCCTTCAGGGGACGACCACTATGCACAGTGGGGAACCGACCCCAGCCCCCACAACAATGGATTTTAGATGTCAGCGTTTTACAATTATGCCGAATGTGCGTAGGTGTGGGCGCCCTGTGGGCGAGGCCACTGCCAGCTGCCGCAGGGGGGGTCCCCGCGCGCGCGGTCTAGTTGGTCTAAAGTTCCTCATGTGGGGGGCGGGGGGCGGTCTTCGTCGGTGCACACTACGTGGGAATAGTGTAAGAACGATCTCGAGGGCGGGAGGGAGTGAGCGAGACGGTGCGCGTCTTCCAGGTAGTTCGACCCTTCCCCCACCCCGTCCCCTTAGAACAGGTTCGCGTCGTGTCGACCGGCGGCGACCGCAGCGCGGGCGTTCAAGGTTGAGCGCCGCCAGTGGCCCGGAATCGGCCAACCTGGAAGGATCTGGTGATCGAGGAGCTGCCGATCGTTCAAGGTTGAACGATCGACGCGGTGTCAGAAACCAACGCTGGGGTCGACACGACACGAACCCGCGCTAGGTATGGAGGGGGGGCGAGGCGTCAGATGGTCTGCGTTGCCCCAAGTAGGCGCCAAGAGGGCTTCGGATATCACAATGTGGCCTCCGAGATGGCTCAAGATAGCTTAAGGTGGCTCAAGCTGAGCTCGGGCATGCCTCCAAGAGGCCTCCAGACCCCCGCCAGACGGCTCCAGGTGAGCACGCGGCCTCCAAGGAGACCCCGAGAGGCCAGAATATATCAAACATCTGAAGCTCTTCATGGCCGTTGTCTTCTCGCCCCTTCGCCTCCCATGCTCGTACCCGAGAGAGTCGCAAGAGGGGCCCAGAGGACGTCCAAAACAGCCCCAACAGCGTGCCAAGACCCCCCCAAGGCTCCCAAAGGGCTCCAAGATGTGATGTTTCATACTCGAGAGGAACAGGGCCACTCTGCGCCAAATGTGTTCTCACAAATCGCTGGAATATTGGTTGTTGGGCCATAACTGCCCCAGATGCCCCCAAATGCTTCCGAAATGGCGCAAGATGGCATCCAGTATGCCTCCACCTGGCCCGAAGCCAGCCCTAAGACGGCCCCATGTGGCCCAAATCCGTCAAATACACAGCGCTGCTATGTTTGCTTGCTTTTTCCCAACCCTCCTGCGTTGGGTTCTCGTTTTGAATAGAGCACTGCTCGCGCCTTCCCACCCCCTCCCGTCCCTCTCTTCCCCACTGCCTTTTACTTGGCTCGTCGCTGCGTTTCGAGGGCTGCTGGGGGCTGCGATCTGTGAAACTGTCGCCACTTTCGAGGGCTGCTGGGGGGCCCAGCACAGTGGGCACCCGCGGCGGATTCAAATGGGACCTCGCCATCCCTGGGGGGCTGCGATCTGTGAAACTGTCGCCACTTTCGAGGGCTGCTGGGGGGCCCAGCACAGTGTGCACCCGCGGCGGATTCAAATGGGACCTCGCCATCCCTGGGGGGCTGCGATCTGTGAAACTGTCGCCACTTTCGAGGGCTGCTGGGGGGCCCAGCACAGTGTGCACCCGCGGCGGATTCAAATGGGACCTCGCCATCCCTGGGGGGCTGCGATCTGTGAAACTGTCGCCACTTTCGAGGGCTGCTGGGGGGGCCCAGCACAGTGGGTACCCACGGCGGATTCAAATGGGACCTCGCCATCCCTGGGGGGCTGCGATCTGTGAAACTGTCGCCACTTTCGAGGCCTGCTGGGGGGCCCAGCACAGTGTGCACCCGCGGCGGATTCAAATGGGACCTCGCCATCCCTGGGGGGCTGCGATCTGTGAAACTGTCGCCACGTTCGAGGGCTGCTGGGGGGCCCAGCACAGTGGGTACCTACGGCGGATTCAAATGGGACCTCGCCATCCCTGGGGGGCTGCGATTTGTGAAACTGTCGCCACTTTCGAGGCCTGCTGGGGGGCCCAGCACAGTGGGCTTCCCGCACGTCTTTCTCCTGCTCTTCGTTCCCGACTCCCCATGTCCTCTTCGAGCCTGTAGTTGTCGCCCCTCGTTCTTGTATGGTTCTCCTGCGCATCATTCCATTGGCGCGTGTCCCAAGTAGCTTACATATCAAACAACGGATCCTGCAATTTGATTGTCCGTGCAAGTTTCGGCCAACTCCTCGTTTCCCATGATACAAATGGGTTGGGTACATCACAGGGTAATTCGCGTCCAATTTGCTTCCTGATGCTTGTTTGATCCATGTCTTTCAAGACAGCCTCAATAATGTTCCCAAGGCCTCCTAGAGGGCCCCCAGAGAACACCAAGATGGCGCCAAGAGAGCCCAGAAGGCTTCCTAAAGAGCCCCAGGAGGGCCAACAGATGGTCAGCATAATTTCCTAAGGGGTTCCCATATCGGAAGATCGGCGAGGGCATTTCTGGTTGACTCCTCTGGGTCCGGTCAGACCGATCATGAATTTCGATTTGACGGTTACCCCTCCTCTTTGTTCCGTTGATTCTTCCCAGGTGTCCCTGATCAAGACAAGTTGCCAAGGCTGGGGAGATGCGGAGCGTCAATGATATGTTTGGCAATATATGACGCAGGCAATATAATCAAGATGTCATGCGATGTGCCCGCATAGAGGGCTACATCGGTTGCATACGCCAAGAGATGTATGGCATACGTCTAACCTGAATGCGTGCTCGTTTATGTATGTAGCGCCTATACTGAATCGTAGGTGCATCATGCATCATGCCAGCGGGTGCTTGCAGTTGTGAAGGAAGTACGTATGTTAAGTTATGCAACTCGACGGGGATTTGGCAGCATCAGTGGCGCGTGCTGGGTCAACCATGGTCCACTCCCCTCCCGCCCTCTCCCCATTCTCCCCCTCGCCCCCCGCCTCCCCATCTTCTCCCTCCCCTCTCCTTTTTCTCCCCTCATCATTTAAAAAAAGTTTCCCCGAGAAGCACCCCAAAACAACGTAAATATGATTCCTCTCACCCCTCCCCTCCTCCTCTCATCCTCACCCTCTCGTCCTGGTGCTTCCCCATCCCTCCTCATCCCCCTCCATCCCCCTCCCTCGTTCCTCGTCTCTCTTTTCCCCATCCCTCCTACTCCTTCCCCGTCTCCCCCCGCCCTCGTCCTCTCCCTCCCTTCCTCCTCTCCCTCCGCCTCTTCCGACGACGACGACCACCACAGCTGCCGACGTTCCCCAGAGGCACCTAGAGGCTTTCAGAGTTGGCCAAAACTAGCGTAAGACCCCGAAAAACACGTGAGCAGCCAGCCCTCGGAGCCGACAACGGCCACGACGACGACCACGCCACCGATGCGCGCCGGCGGCCAGCCTGCGGCGCTGCTCGCACTGACCGGCGCCCCGGCGGACCGCGGGCCTGCGCGCATGCCGGTCTTCTCGGGGGCGTTCAAGCAGGGGGTGACTCGGCAGCAACGTATGGGGGCCCTGCATGCCCTCAGAGCTCTGGCGCCAGGGTAAACGATGAGGAGCGCCGGTTTCGCGTGGACGAGCGTCGACTGGAGTCGGGCAGCGTCGATCAGCGTCGGTCGGCGTCGATTCGCAGGAGCCAGCAAGATGGCATGGAAGGCTCCCATGAGTGTACCACCGAAGACGGGGGGGGAGGTCATGGCCGGGGCAACGATATCCAGGAGGGGGAAAAACACACAGACACAATGAATCGTCGATCCCCAGGAAAATATGTGAAAATATGGGCAGTGGTGGCGGGGAAGACAGAAACCCCGAAAATGTAGGAAAAGATAGGGAATCCTTTTATTTGTGTGTATTTACTTGTGTGTCCCAGGGCCCCTTCAGATATCCAGCTGTTTGCGGCGAACCCCGCCGCCGTGCTGGTGCATCGGCGCAGCAGGAAGGAGGCCGAGTACAGGAACGGAGCAATTCCGACGACGTAGTTTGCACTCGGACGGTCTTGAAGGGGTCGGCCTTTGCGGGGTGCGGTCTTTGAGGGGTGCGTGCGGGTAGGGGGGCGGCCCTCGAAAGCACTAAAACATTGCAGAGAGAACGGACGGGCCCACTGAGGCAACGTTCTGGAGGCAGCGCTGGAGGCAGCGCTGCCCACTCTCCCTCCTCGGCTTTCCTGTTTTCTCTTCATCCTCCTTCGTGGGCTGGTGCTTGGCATTCGAGTAGGGGGTCGACTACAGGATTGATGGACTCCAAAATTGGCTTGTTCCTCGAATCTAGGAGAAATTCGTAGAACGCTCGTAGATCTACGAACATTCTACGTCTGACCCGACGAGAAAATCAGACTCTGGGGTAAGCCAGTCCTGTGGTCGATGCCCTGCTCGAGGCATGGTGGAGTCCCCCTTCCACAAAGCACTAAAAAACTATCCTCGCCCACTCCGTGCAGGCACGGTGACGGGCCTCCGCGGATGTCGTGGCCCCCCTCTCCGGGTGCAGCGGCCTCCTGCCCGTGCCGCCGATCCCGGGCGTGCCCGGTGCCTCTGGTGGTCGGTGGGCCTGCCGTCGCGCGGGGAGCCGGCTGGCAGTGGACGAGGGCGAAGACTCCTCCTCCTCCGCCTCCTCCTCCTCCTCGTCCTCCTCCTCCTCCGCCTCCTCCTCCGCCTCCTCCTCCTCCTCCTCCTACTCCTCCTCCTCCGCCTCCGCCGCCGCCGCCGCGAGAAGCGGAGGAGTGCGGCGACGGGGGGGGGGGCTCGGCTGTCGGCGAGAGGGGCCGGCTGCCCCGTGGGAGGCCTGCCGCCTGTGCCACGGGGAGGGGCCCGGGGGGCGCGAGGGGGGCCGCGGGGGGCGGGAGGGGGGCCGCGGGGAGCGCGGGTCCGCACGCCCGAAATGGGTACTGAAAGAATGGGTGCTATGCCCAACAGCGGATCTTGTTCATTTTGAACAGGGCTCGCTGTCCACGCCGCCGCGGCCTGTGTCCATTCGAGACAGGAGGCCGCCCGCCCAGCAGCGGCCGCTGTTGAACAGTTGCTGTTGGGCATGGTACCCATTCTTTCGGTGCCCATTTCGGGTGTCCGAAGCGGGGCGGAAGCGGGACGGGGCACCCGGCCCCGCCAGAGACCTTTTTTTTGGAGCTCCCGTCGTCGTCGCTGCCGGCGTCCGCGTCCCGTCGTCGTCGCTGCCGGCGTCCGCGTCCGACCTCTGCGGCGGGGCAGGGGGCCGAGCGCTCGGCTGGCTGCCCCGGGGGCAGCCTGGGCCGCGCTTGCCCCAGGGGGGCCCCCCGGCCGAGAGGTCGTGCCCCCGAGCCCCGCCCGAGGTCCTTTCTTGGGAGCACCCGTCGTCGTCGTCGTCGTCGCCAGCGTCGGCGCTCGACGTCTTCGACGGGGCAGGGGCCGATCCCTCGGCTGGTTGCCCCCGCAGGAGGGATGAGCAGAAGGAAGAAGTGGGGGGGAAGCCTACGAGGAGGAGGAGGAGGAGGAGGAGGAGGAGGAGGAGGAAGAGGAGGAGAAGGAGGAGGAGAGAGATGGCAGGCGGTCATTGAAGGGAGGAGTGGGAAGATGAGGAGGAAATGGGTGATGAAAAGAGCAGGAATGGTCGGTGGCGGCGGTGTCCCTGGGCGCCTAATTATTGGTGTTCCCGTCGTCCTGCGCCGCCTGGTACGCTGCGATGCATGTCCATCAACCTTTAGGACTTGGTCGAATCCAGCGCATCGGGAAGAAAAGTTGTCTTGCACATGCCCCCGCGAAGCCTGAGCAGCATGTAAGACGCCACCACTATGCGTACCGTTGCCATGGTCTACGTATTGTAAACGCCCGAGGCAGCGGATGAGAGTGAGAAGTGGGATAGGGGCAGTTGTAATGCCCACTTCTAAAGGAAGACGGACAGAGAGAGAGAGAGAGGAAAAAAAAGAAAAAAAAAAAAAAAGAAAAAAAAAAGAGAGAGAAGGAGAGAGACGTACCGATAAAATCATTATTCCGGTAAGAAGGAGGTTGGGGTCGGTGGGTGCAGTTTTCGGTGTGCCATTTGCCGTCGGATCGAATCTGCAACGTGTACATACATGTATATGTACAAGTGGCACGTGTGTGTGCACAGGGTCATACAAAACAGATGAGCACGAAGACACCATGACGGCGGGATCGGAGATGGAGAGATGGAGGAGGGGAAGCTGGCGCGGCGCCGCCAGGGCGTGCCTAAGAGAAGGGGACGAGGCAGGAGGTGAACGCAGAAGAACCTAAGTTCGAGGAAGAGCCCCCCCAAAGGATTGGGGATCGAGCAGGAGGATCGACGAGGGCAATGCCTCTCCGAGGGCAGCGTTGCGAGGATGTCTCAGGCGAAAGTGGCCTGACCACCTCAGCTCTCGGAACCCAGAGTTGCGAGGCCGTTTCAGGCGAAAGTGGCCTGAACTCCTCAGTTCAGAGCATCTCGGAACCCAGAGTTGCGAGGGTGTCGCAGGCGAAAATGGCCAGACCACCACGGGACAGGGCATCTCGGAATCCAGATTGCAAGACGTCTCAGGCGGACGTGGCTGAACCACCTTAGTTCAGGGCATCTCGGAATTCAGAGTTGCGGGGATGGCGAAAGTGGCCGGACCTCCATGGGGCAGGACACCTCCGAGATTTAGAGTTGCGAGGATGTCTCAGCCGACAGTGGTAATGAGCGAAGCGATGGTGGAATGTTGCGAGGATGTGGCGAAGAAGTCTCAGTCCGATGGGCTGGCAGAATGAGCGAAGCGATTAACAAGAGAAGTGTTAGCACGATTTCCACCAGCCGATGTGTTTCACTAGATGCGGAGGGAAAGAGAAGGACGAGAAGAGGAGGAGGAGGAGGAGGAGGAGGAGGAGGAGAGCTGCTGGGAGTGAAGTGCAATAGCGGGGTCGCACTCGAGCGCAAGCGGGGTTGCCACACCTTGCGATGTGTGTACCACGGGCCCCTAGGAAGCCTCAGGAGGCCCGACCAGGATGCCGGAAAATATTACAGGATGCCCCAGGAGGGGTCGTCTGGGATCGAGGTTGCGAGGATGCCCATGGAGGCCTCAGGAAGCCCGACCAGGAGGCCGCAAGAGGCTCCAGGAGGCCGAAGGAGAGTACGTCTGGGCTCGAAGTTGCGAGGATGTCCATGGAGGCTGCAAGAGGCTCCAGGAGGCCCGACCAAGAGACCGCAAGCGGCTCATTTTGCGAGGACCTCTCAGTCGAAATTGCCATTCTCGGAGAGTCTGGCTCAAAATCTTGAAATTACATTGTGTGTTTGAAGGCTTCATGTTTGAATAATGACATTCTTATGTGTTTTTGGACCCTGACGTCACGATCTGCGTGAGGGGTGCGCTGTAGGTGTGTGTGTGTGTGTGTGTGTCTCTGTGTGTGTGTGTGTGTGTGTGTGTGTGCGTGTGCGTGCGTGCGTGCGTGCGTGCGTGCGTGCGTGTGTGTGTGTGTGTGTGTGTGTGTGTGTGTGTGTGTGTGTGTGTGTGTGTGTGTGTGTGTGTGTGTGCGTGTGTGCGTGTGTGTGCGTGCGTGCGTGCGTGCGTGCGTGCGTGCGTGCGTGCGTGCGTGCGTGCGTGCGTGCGTGCGTGCGTGCGTGCGTGCGTGCGTGCGTGCGTGCGTGCGTGCGTGCGTGCGTGCGTGCGTGCGTGCGTGTGCGTGTGCGTGCGTGCGTGTGTGCGTGTGTGCGTGTGTGCGTGTGTGCGTGTGTGCGTGTGTGCGTGTGTGCGTGTGTGCGTGTGTGCGTGTGTGCGTGTGCGTGTGTGCGTGTGTGCGTGTGTGCGTGTGTGCGTGTGTGCGTGTGTGCGTGTGTGCGTGTGTGCGTGTGTGCGTGTGTGCGTGTGTGCGTGTGTGCGTGTGTGCGTGTGTGCGTGTGCGCGTGTGCGCGTGTGCGCGTGTGCGCGTGTGCGCGTGTGCGTGTGTGCGTGTGTGCGTGTGTGCGTGTGTGTGCGTGTGTGTGTGTGTGCGTGTGTGCGTGTGTGCGTGTGTGCGTGTGTGCGTGTGTGCGTGTGTGTGTGTGCGTGTGTGTGTGTGTGTGCGCGTGTGTGCGTGTGTGTGTGTGTGTGTGTGTGTGTGTGTGTTCTGTCTGTCTAGCGTGTGATGTGTTGGGTGTGATTTGTGTCTCTGAGTGCGCATGTAATTATGAGGCCCCAGGAGACCCAGGAGGCCCCAGGCGGCCTCAGGAGGCCCCAGGAGACCCCAGGAGGCTCCAGGATGCCCCAGGAGGCTCCAGGAGGCCGCAGGAGGCCCAGGGAGGCCCCAGGAGGCCCCAGGAGGTTCCAGGAGGCCCCCAGAGGCCTGAAGACGCATGGAATCCGACCAGCCCTTTGGGCGACAGGGGTCTCTCCTCTTCCACAACTCCTCTTCCCTTCGGAGAGGGGAACCCTCCCCCTCCCCTCCCTGAGGTTTTTTGGGGAGGGATCGCGAGGTGTCGGAGGCTCCTTTGTCGGCCATTGGGAGAGCTATTTTCTGTCACCCGTCACGAGGATCGTGGCCCCCGAGGGGGGGACGCAACTCGAGTACCCCCCCCTCTTTTGACCGACCGCCTCCAAGATGGCCCCAAGAGGCCCTCCAGGGCTCCCAATAGGCCCCCAAGAGAGCCGAAAGAGCGCCCCAAGACGCCCCAAGAGGCCTCCAAAAAACACCCAAGAGGCCCCCGAGCGGCCCCCGAGGGGCATCAGAGAGGCCAAGATGACCTTCAAGATGGCCCACGATAGCAAAAGCTAGCTCCAGATGGCTCCCACGATGCTCCAAGAGGCCCCAATCCGTAGCCGTTCTGGCTCAAGCACAGGTCATTCGAGATCTCAAGTCGCACTCCGGCTGCAGTCGGACCCAGTGCTGGAACACCTACACGGCATTAGACGGAACCTTTGCACAGGGATCGGCGGCAGGCAGCGTTCCCGATGTTGGCCCAGCGTGCTTCCACGGGTAGCGATGTGATTCCGCTTCTGCAGGCGATACTTTCCACGGCACAGCGGTCCGCGGAGATCCAGGAAGCCCAGCTGCAGTTTTTCGCCAGGCGGCAGCAGCAGCAGCACGACGTCTACGCGTCCACGGCAGGCTCGGCAGCATCCAACGTATCGAGCGGCGAGCGTCAGGACAAGGAGCACCGGATTGTCAGCCCAAAACTTTCCATTGTCGCGCCACAGCCGCCGGACACAGGAGCTGACTCCGACCTGGTCATCCCTTGGAGCGACAAAAAAGGTGTTGACGTTGAGGCACCAGGCCCCCGCTACAGTGTCAGCGAAATGCTCGCTAAGCAAGCCTGGGAACCAGAAATATCCCATAGGAACCTTTGCGGCAACCACATCAATCTCAGCGGTAAGCCCCATGGCCATCTGCTCCCAAAGGAAGTCCCAGCGATCTGGCGCAGATTCTTCTTTGTATTAGGTGTGCTCTCCCCGTCCGAGGTTGCGCCTGGAGGTTGCCGCATGTTGTACCAGATGTACCGCGCTTTCTTTCTTTCATCTGGATTTTGCACCTGGTCTCTGGGTGCGCTTAAACTGCACTTCTTTGATGCTGAGTCGGCTGGATTTACCTACGATCTACTTGTCAGTGCGATTTCTCTGTCAGCACTTGTGTATCCGGCATTCTACATCTGGGCACGGCAGTTTTCCAGCAAGGGTGCCACCATGTTGTTTTTTACAGAAGTTGTATGATCGGGGCTTTCCGTGGGAGAATTTGCGCATCAGTGCACTCCTGGCGTGGTGTGTCCCTCTGGTAGCGGTCATGCTTAGAGGGATGTTTCAAATGAGGCAGGCGATGAGCGTCGTGGATGATTCGAGAACGGCGTTCAGAGCCATTATCTTTCTGCAGATGCCGATGGAATGCATCTTCATGTTTGTTTGTTTCGGGATTCATGCCTTGGTTTTTGTTGCCTCAAAGCTCCACGAGCACGATCTCATGCGCTACGCAGGCGCTGTAGTCAAAGCCATGCCGCGGTCTGACTCCGATGTGATCGTGCCTTCGCTGAGGAAGCTGGAGTTTACCGTGAGCGCGCGCCTACGCTACGCCAGCACCACGTGGGTCCGCTTTACTGTGCTTGAGATCCTGCTCTTCGGGATTTTGGCACTAGTCGCATGCACACGCTTGCTCTTGTCAGAGACCACCAGCTTCACCTCTGGTTGGAGCATGATTCTGATTCTCGCGAGTTCCCTCGTGGTCGTGCTATCTGCGCCGCTGGCTTCCGTAGCCGAGACCTTCGAGTATGACGTGCTACGGGCATTGAACAATCCGTCGGTGTTGAAACAAGCGCAGCAGCATTTCGGCCAGCAGCTGTTGGCCCACCTGCAAACCCTGGACTGGGGCTTCCGAGTCGGGGGCACGGTGATCAATAACAAGATGGTAGTGCAAGTCGCGACAGCTCTGGTCATTACTTCGGTGACAGCTGTGAGCCAGTCCTTCATAACGATTTCGCAGTGACAAATGACACAACGTGCTGGAACTAGACGAGGTGAGCTGTCGGTGACCAGGGAGGCAACATGGTTGAGCATCAGTGACAGTGAGGCAATGTGTCGGCAGCCGAGTAGCAAATTCTGCGAATTGTGACCGCCGGTCGCCACGCCACCCGAGGGAACGCATAGAAAAACAACAACAACAACAACAACAACAACAACAACAACAACAACACCAACAACAACAGCAGCAACAACAACAACAACAACACCACCAACACCACCAACAACAACAACAACGACAACGACAACGACAACGACAACAACGACAACAACAACAACAACAACAACAACAACGACGACGACGACGACGACAACAACAACAACAAAAACAACAAACAATGATCCAAGAGGCCCCAAGACCGCTCCAAGACGGCTCAAGATGGCCACGGAGCCTCCCCAGGATGCCGCCGAGATGCCCCAATCTTTCAAACACGTAGCGAAAATCAGTGATTCTGGCCTTCTTGCCTTTTTGCTTTCGATGGCCTTCCGGGGCCTCAAGACGGCTCCAAGTGGGACCCAAGAGAGGCCCAAGAGAGCCCCAGAACGGCCCCAAGAGCGCCCAAGAGCGCTCCAAGAGGAGCCCAAGAGGCAATTTTAGGCACTCTAGAGTCGACGCTACTTGCAGCTCCCCCTTCCTTGATCGATCTCCTCCAAGATGGACCCAAGAGCGCCCCCAAGGCTCCGAAGAGCGCCCGAAGAGGGCCCCAAGACCGCTCCAAGACGGCTCCGAGTGTCCAAGATGGCCAAGATGGCCACTGCGAGGGTCAATTCTGGCGTACCCTTAAGTCGGGCCTGTCCCTCTACAGGGGGAAAATTAAAAAATATAAAAAATAAGAGTCTGGGGACTATTGTTTGAGCATTTTTGTTTGTCATGTTTGAGCATGTTTTCAGTATTTTGTATTTTTCGCCGGAAATCCCCGTGTAGGGGAACACGCCCGACTTAAGCATACCCCTCACGAGGATCGTGGCCCCCGAGGGGGGGGACGCACACTGAGACCCCCCTTCTTTTGACCGACCGCCTCCAAGATGGCCCCAAGAGGCCCTCCAGGGCTCCCAAGAGAACCCCAAGAGGCCCTCAAGAGCGCCCCAAGAGGCCTCCAAGAGGTACCCGAGAGGCCCCCAAGAGACCCTTGAACGGCCCTCAAGATGCCCAATAAGCTCCTCCGAGGCACCCACGACGCCGTCTTGTCCTCGTCCTTCACCTCGTCCTCCTCGTCCTCGTCTTCGTCCTCCTCCTCGTCCTTGTCCTCGTCGTTCTCTTCGTCCTTGTCCTCCTCCTCCTCCTCCTCCTTGTCCTCCTCCTCCTCCTCCTCATCCTTCTTGTCCTCGTCCGCTCGATCTCGTTCATGTCCTTCGTCCATGTCCTCGTCCTTTCCCTCCTCTTCCCCCATCCTCTTCCCCCATCCTCCTCCTCCTCCTCCTCCTCCTCCTTGTTCTCGTCATCCCCCTCGTCTTTGTTATCGTTCCTCCTCGCCCTTACTCTCTTAGTCCTCGTTCTCCTTCACCTCGTCCTGCTTCTGCTCCTCCTCGTCCTGCTCCTCCCTTCTGGATGGGCTGGTGGGGATACTTTTGATTGCGAGTGACGCGGAAGCAGCCGCGCACCGTCAAGAAGGGTCGATCAGCGGAAAAATGGACGGGCCACTACGCGGACAGCGCAAGTGGGGCGAAGACAGAACGAGGCGAAAGAGGGAGAACAAGAGCGAGGAGGAAGAAGACAAAACATAAAGGCAAAGACAGGACGAAGCGGGAGAGAGAGAGAGAGAGAGAGAAACGGACAGGAAGAGAACGGAAGACACAAGAGCGAGGGGGAAGAAAAGAGCGAAGCAAAGAGAAGACACGACAGAGAGAAAGGAAACAAGCCGCAGCTCAGGCTCAGGCCAAGAGGAGCCGGACCTTGAAGTAAGGGCGGCGTACCCAAACCAATGCACACAGCTGGGATGTCACAGAGTGGCCACCGGCACGAGAAGAGCGTAAGTGTAGAACACGCCGCCATCCATCAATCAGGCCATCTCCAGGGCCGTGTAGTCTAGCCGCGAGGCCGTCGCCATCCACGAGCCACGGGGGGAGTAAGAGGCTCGCGATTGCACCGCATGAGACAGCCTGGTGCTCTGGGGGGTGGGTGCAGCTAACAGCCGCAGGGGGGGTGACCAGCCCAGGCCCGCTAGGCGGGCAGCGTCAGGGCGGGGGGGTGCGCCGCCTGAGACCTGCAGCCCGGCCCGTGCCTCCTCGCCCTGACTCTCTCAGTCCTCGTTCTCCTTCACCTCGTCCTGCTTCTGCTCCTCCTCGTCCTGCTCCTCGCTTCTGGATGGACTGGTGGGGGAACGCGAACCGTCCAGAATTACCATCCGTGGGTCCATTCGCCGAAAGCGAGTGGCATTGGGGGTGGCGCAGGTAGCGAATTGTTGATCACAAGCATTCCCCAAAGAGGTCTACCTGCGAAATAACATTGTCACAGCATTGGCGAGTTTCTTCAGCGGCGCGGCGCGGAGGCAGTCGTCGGGCAGAGCCCCAGATAACAACGCACCAGGATTGTTCAAGTTCGTGAGGTGAAGTAAAGAAATAGCAGATCTGGGCCGGTAGACGGAAGTCCAGGGATGCGGCTCAAATCCGCCCAGCTGGGCCAATATGCGGCCGACGATGGAAGAACAGAGCTCAGTGTGGTCTGCGCAACTCACGTGTCGTACAGTCGGGGTCCTGAAGAAGGAACCCTTTTTGTTGGGGAGGGGCTCCGTGTTCCTTAGTTGCTTTACAGTGCTCCTCGGGCTTTCCTATGTTTTCCTGAGGTTTTCCATGGAAAATCGGAGTTTCATATATGGGAAAAAGGGGCCTCGTTCCTTGTTTATCGTTCCTTAGGTCAACGCCCCGACTGTAGTGTACCGTGCAAGTCGGGACTTAGATTTCCTGCCGGCATCTATCCAAAGCGTTCTTGGCCGCCGTGTGGCTCGCAGTGCGACTTGCCACTGATCTTGCGGTCTTACAGCATCCGGGCCTGCTGTGTGGTACTGCACGACGACAGGGAATTTGCGCATAGTGTGTGGCGGGGCCGCACGGCCGTGCCACAGTGACGGCAAACGAGAGTTCTTGCCTGAACACAGGGCGTGCTCGGATGGTTGCAGTCTGGCGCCAAGTTTTCACGGAAGCAGGGGCTCTCGTCCCCGCCGACCGTAATGTGGTGTTGCTACGGCAAAGAGCATGTCTCGACCTCGTCGTCCCATGCCTTAATGCGAGCTCATCGTCCCATGCCTCAATGTTGCATCATGGTGGTTTCCTGTATTTCGTCGACGACCCCGCACTAGCAATCAACCAGGAAAATTGCTTGAACCGGAATTGGACGGGGATCATTTCAATGTTCGGGTGGTGGACTATTTGGGAGGTGGGGCCCAGAACCGACTTCTTTGGCACGTTGGCGCGAGAAAGATGCCGGGACTTCCCGGGACGAATACAACGGGGCCCAACATTGGGATGATTTGAACACAGGTGGTCGGGCATTTGTCTACAACGGTCAGTTGCGCATGCCGTACGCTACGAACATGCCGACCGATTGACTACATAAGGTGAGCTGGTAGTCCAATTCTTCACGCTTCGCGCATTTCCACCAATCATCCAGAAACGCGAATGAGAATTGACGAGAAGAAAAAAGGAGAAACAAGCGTAGTCAGAGACGTCTTGGAGCGGTCTTGGGGCCTTTGGGAGCATTTTGAGTGCCGTCGTGTTCCAGCTTGGGCTATATTGGGCCGTTTGGGAGGTCATCTTGGATTTTGAGGCCTGCTAGGGAGCCTTTTAGATGTTTCTCCGGTGCCTCTTGGAGGAGATTGATCAAAGACGGGTGGAGCTACAAATGTTGACGCTTCGCGTATCCCCATCAGCCTCCGTGGCGTCTGGCTCAAGCCGATTCGGGCTCTATGGTGCTTTCGGGCACCGGGTGCCATCAGGTGACCGCCAGCGCACCTTTCACTTACAAGGCGCTGCCGTCGCACTGCGCTCAGGAGGACCCCAGCCAGGATCCGGAGGAGGATGCACTCCGGGAGGCCGACGAGCTGCTGGCCGTGACCCGCCGCCCGAAGCTGCTCTGGTGTGGGGCCTCTGCCGCGGGGGCCTGCGCGCTCCTCGCCGCGGCCGCCGCCGTTCGCTGGAGCGCGGCGGGCCCCGCCCACCTGCGCAGGGTGCCCGTCGCCGTGCTGGCCGCGCTGGGGGAGTTGGCGCTGGAGCTGCAGGCGAACGCGTCGCCGGTGGAGGCGGGCTCTGCGGTGCGCCCTCGCGCGCTCGACGAGTGGAGCTGCAGGGCGCGGTTGCGGCGGCTGCAGGAGGTGGCCGCGCAGAGGCTGGAGTAGCAGCCGGATCCCCTGTTCCCGGCCGAGGCCTCCTCGGTCTCTGGCAACGGGGGCAGCTGCGGCGACTCGGCCTCCAAGGCCCCCACGCACTGCAGCCATGTCAATCACTGGGGCACCTTGCGCTCCATCGCAGATCAGCAGGGGCTCCCAGACGTGGTCGTTTTCGGCCCCTCTATGCGCCCAGACGACGGTGACCAGGGCCGGCTGGGCAACTGCTATTTCTTGTCCGCGCTGGCGTTTGTTGCGCACGCATGTCCGACGTGCATCATGGGCATGTTCGTCCAGAAGCACAAAGAGAAGAATGGAGTCTACACCACCAGGTGGGTCCTAGACGGAGTGGAGACGGAGGTTTCCATTGACCACTTGGTCCCTGCGAAGTACGCCACCCCCTACTTCGCCCAGGTAACCTCATGCCCGTGAGAATAAACACTAGGGGATAATAAAGTTCGGGGTTCAGGGAGAGATAATAAAAGTAGCCCAGCAGACCTCAGCATAATCTCGAAGTAAGAGATGATCAAGAGGAGACCAAGCCGAGCACGTGTTGAGACATCCTTGGCGTTTAGTTTTCATAGAAATATCCTCAACAATGGTTTATCTCTCATGAAAATTGTTTTTGTAAATGCTCGTGTAGGGTAGCTCATGTGCCTCAATTTCCATGGATAATCAACCCCAGAGATAAAAAAGTTCAGGCGAGCGTGGGGGCAGAGAGAAATATAACAGAAGAATAATACAGTAGAATAGTAATAAGAAAGAAGAAGAGGATAATAAGAAGAGGACGAAGACAGGACAAATCCAAAGTTCCAAATCTATCATTTGTTATTTACAAGCGCTTTATGAAAAATGATGTTTTAAAGTGCTCGTGTAGGTAGCTCATGTGCTTCATTTTCCAGGGATAATCAACCCCAGGGATAAAAAAGTTCAGGCGAGCGTGGGGGCAGAGAGAAATATAACAGAAGAAGAGGAAAGTATAATACTAATAAGAACATTGCTCGTTTCGTTTGAGTCTGCCTCCCAAAATTATTGGTTTCGCTTGACGCATCCTGAAAAGTGTGATCGCTTCGCTTGATGTTGCTATATCAACATCGCTTGATGTTGCTATCTCAACATAGCGTTTCGAGGTGATAATGAAGTTCGGCCTCAGCGCTCGCCGCCCAATTTGAATTTTGTATAAGGCGACGATAATCAACTCTAAACACTGAAGGGGGGGGGGGGGGTCCCTTTATTATCATCGGCATGCGGTTATCGAACGGCGTTTTTTGGCTAGTCATCCTGGAGAAGGCACGGGCGAAGATCCTGGGGTCTCATCATGCTGCCGAAGCGGGAAACTGGCTGAGCGCTTTAGGTGCCATCGCTCGCTCTCCCGTGAAGTCCGTGTGGCACCCGTATTCAAACGCAGGACGACCTGTGGAGCGAGCTGGAACGTGCCTCGAGCATGAATTTCTCAGTCGGAGCCAGCGCTGGAGACGGCGCGAGCAGCTATAACCTCCCTGCGTCCCACGCCTACGCGGTCATCCTGGCACACGTGGATTCCAAGCACGGGCGCGTTGTTCGTTGCTTCAACCCTTAGAATTCGGATAGGTACCGCGGCGCTGTTCCAAACGAGAACACGGGAGACGGCATTGTCGATATGAAGCTAGATGAGTACTACCACGCGTTCAGGACAACGCAAATAGGAGTGGTTACCCCCAATTGCACTTCCTCCTTTCATGGCGGCCTTGGCGGTAACCATGTTCACCGCGGCGTCGTTGCTCTCTTCGCCATGGGATATCTCACCAAATGTGCCACTCTTGGTCTGCCTGGCGATCGCCTAAGTGACAGAAGGTCTCAAATGGCAAGGCTCGACTAACTTCCGCATGTGCCATGCACGAGACACATAAAACGCATCTTCGGAAGCTGTTGAAAAAGTCAGGGCGCTCATTTGCTTCGACGCCAGGAGCGCCGGAGGGATTGGCACCTACGATGTGTTCGTGGGTGCGGATTTCCCCAGCGAGGTCGCGGATCGGGTTGTCGTGGTCGTGTACGCATGCGAGGGAGTGAACATAACAAGTTCTCCGGAGTCCGCTTCCGAGGTGGCCCTGGCAATGTTTGGCCCCGAGTGCAACCAGAGCCGCGTTAGCTGCGTGGAGCACGGCGTTTTCACACCGAGTCCACACAAGCTCGCGCGTGGCAGACCCACGCGCTGGAGCATCGACGACGCGGAGTTCGCCTACTACACCAGCCGCCTCTGGTTCGTCGCCAGCGCGGCTCACTGGCAGGCAGTTTCGCAGGGGAAGCTGTACTTCAGCGCCAGGGTCGCCGCGCGGGAGGCTGGCCGCGGCTGCCTCGACGCGCCCACGGGCGCGCGCGGCCTCGACGCGCCCTGCGCGCGGGTCTCGCCCCCGCACCCCAAGTGCTCCAACGCGGCGTGAGAGGGCGCGCAGTACTCCGCGCTGGTCCGCCGCTGCTGCCCCGTGACCTGCGGGGCCCGCCCCGCCGCAGCGGGCCCGGCGCCGGCCAGCCCGCGGCAGCTGCCACCGACGTCGACTGCGACGCCGGCGTTGACGACGACGACGACGCCCACGACGCCGACGCACACGCCGGCGGCGCCGAGTGCCGCGCCGACGCCGGCGGTGCCGACTTCGACGCTGGCCTCGACGGCGGCGCCCACAACTTCGGCGCCGACGCCAGCGGCGCCTCCGGCGGAGGCGGGCGGCGGCGAGCAGCGCCCTCCTACGCAAGCCACGAGCGAAGACGGGCGCGGCGTTTCCGGAAGGTTTACCTGCGGCGTGCTGCCAGGCCAGCGGTGCTCGGTCAGCTGGCCCAGCTGGGTCAGGTCGAGCCGCAGCAGCCGTTGCCTGGCCCACCCCGAGTTGCAGAAGGATCGCTGCCCAAAGCTTGCCACAGTCAGCTGCAGCATTGTTTCCCAGGGACGAACACGACCGTGAAACGACGCTCGCAACCGCCATTGCGCACAGCGTGGTGGACACGCTTCAGGGTAGATTCGCGAGTGTGATACGTCATGTACACTATGCCACGGACGAATGCCTGCAGACCGCAGTGCACACATGGGAGCGGATCCCAGATTCTTCTTGCGCGAAGGTCGCGGCGAGCGATGATAGGTAGTTTCGGGAGGTCGGCCCGGCCGGCCCCGCGAGGCATTCGAGCTACGCGCTCGGCGGGGTCGCTGGCGGCCCCGCGAGGCGCTAGAGCTACAGACTCGCTCGGCAAGGCTTGGGCGTCGGGCAGCCCCGCGAGGCTTCCGAGCTACAGGCTCGGCGGGGTCGCCACCGGGGCAGCCCTCTTCAGCGCCGCCCCCCCCCCCCCCCCCCCCCCGCACCACCGCCGCCCCGCCCGCGCGAGGCCGCCAGGCGCCCCCCCTGCTCGCGCTGCCCTCGCAGCCGCCTGCTCCCCGGGAGGGGGGGGGGAGCTTCGCGGCCCCCCTCAGAAGACTGGTTCTTGGCTCGTCCGCGCCGACCCCCATCGGGCCGTTGGCCACTGTCGGCGCGCCCCCGCACTGCGTCGCATGCGCGACGGGCTGACGTCCATCTCCCTGGCTGTGCTGATGTGTCATAGTCGCCGCTGGGCTACCCTTCCAGTTTTTCTCCTCGTCGCACTTGGGGCGCGCTTACTTCCCTGATGACTCCTGGAGGGCGTGGCGTTACCATCGGGTTCATTCTGTGGCCTTGGAAACGACTTGCTGGATTGCAGGCCTCACGCTTGGTGTGCGTCTGTGGTTTCGCGACCCTCTCAGTAATTCATGTCCCTGCTCCCCAGAGGACCGCCGATTGCTAGGCTAAGCCTTGGGCGTCCTATGTCTTAGCCCAACGCATGAAGTATTAGGCTAAGGCTTCAAGTGTTGCGTTCCCATTCGAAAAGCATACAATCGTTTAAAATGGCTGGGGCACACCTTAATGCGATGTTTATATGCACCATGTGTTAGACGTTATGCATCAAGGTGCACTTACCGCTTGCTGAGCTCAAATGTTGCATGCTTTTCGGCGCGTGGAATGCCACGTCGCCTCGCACATTTCAAAAAAAAAAAAAAAAAAAAAAAAAAAAAAAAAAAAAAAAAAAAAAAAAAAAAAAAAAAAAAAAAAAAAAAAAAAAAAAAACGCCTCGCCTATCCTCCTTCGCCCGCACTGGGGCAGGATCAGATGGGGGAGGATGCGTGAGTCAAGTAGGGAAGACGTTAAAGAGCATGGGATGAGAACGCTGGAGAAGGACGAGAAACGAGAGGAGGATGAGAATGAGGAGGAGGAGGAGGAGAGAAAGAGGAGGAGGAGGAGGAGGAGGAGGACGACGACGACGAGGAGGAGGGGGAGAAAGAGAGGATGAGGAGGAGGGCGACGACGCGGAGGACACAAACGAAATCATCGGGGGGTCAGTAGACGAATACCTCCAACGATGCATCAGCGCATTGGGCACAATGCTACTTACCCTGTTGAGTGAGATGCATCGGCGGGCCGCGCATCGCATCGACGCGTCGGCGATCCATCGGAAAACGTGGGCCCCCCAAGGATGCGTTGGCCTTGCGCCGTCTAGCGTTCAAGGGCTTGCACGATCGTTCGCAGCCGATGACAGGCTTCAAACAGGAAGCGACTCCGCTTTCTTCCGAGGCCAAAGCTTATTGGGTCTCCAAGGGCTGAGCTTTGGGCGCCATGGAGCAAGGCGGAGCTTCGCCAATGCCGCCCGTGGCCGTAGGTTGCGGCGGAGCTGTGCCAGCATCGCTCGATGCGGAGAGCTCGGAGGAGGAGTCCGCGGTCGCCGACGTGGCGATGCCCGAGTCCATCAGCAGGCACCCGCTGAACATTGGCCTGCCGATGCGTCCGTGCCGCGCGGTCGCCACCCCCCCAGATGCGGCCCTCGCCAGTGCAGGTGCCGCCGAGAGAACAAGGATGAGGATGAAGATAGGGATGGGGATGGCGTAAAAGCTGGGGTTACCGTTGAGCTGCCGCGCGCGCGCGCACAATACGAGTACGCACGCGCGGGCCTGGCTGCAATCGATTGGGCGCTACATATAT